TGTGTGTGTGTGTGTGTCCTGAACTGAACACCTCCCTGTTTCTCCTCCATCATCAACTGCTCATGACACCAATATCCACCCACCCCCCTCTCCCAAACATCCGCGCTGTGCCACCGACAGGTACGAGACGAGCAGCGGCGGCGAGCGGGAGATTCAGCGCACGATGCTTGAGCTCCTCACCCGTCTCGATGGTTTCGACAGCAGAGGCGACGTCAAGGTGCTCCAGTGTTTGTTTGTTTGTTTGTTTGTTTGTTTGTTTGTTTGTTTGTTTGTTTGTTTGTTTGTTTGTTTGTTTGTTTGTTTGTTTGTTTGTTTGTTTGTTTGTTTGTTTGTTTGTTTGCGTTCTGTGCATGCCCGCTCTTCGTCGTCTTCGTTGTCTTCGTTGTCGTCTCTTGCAACTGTTCGCCTCATGTACCCCCGCCCCCTCCCTCTTCCTGCAGGTGATTATGGCGACGAACCGAATTGACGCGCTCGACACGGCGCTGATCCGGCCCGGGCGCATTGACCGCAAGATTGAGTTCCCGCTGCCGGACGAGAAGACCAAGCGTCGCATCTTCTCCATCCACACATCCAAGATGACCGTGTCCGATGATGTCGATCTTGAGGAGTTTGTCATGTCCAAAGACGACCTCTCTGGCGCTGACATCAAGGTGAGGATGTGTGTGTGTGTGCGTGCGTGTGTGTTTCGAGTGTGCCAACGGTGTTGTTGTCTTTTGTTTTGTGTTTGTCCACTTTTGTCTTTGACATGTCCAGCAATACGCGCGTCTCTTCCCTTCCCCCCTCCCCCCCCTCTGCCTGCCTTTGTTGTCGTGGTCTCACTGCCACAATGCTGCATGTGTGTGTGTGTGTGTGTGCACAGGCCATCTGCACTGAGGCGGGTCTGCTTGCCCTGCGCGAGCGCCGCATGAAGGTGACGTCAGACGACTTCCGCAAGGCCAAAGAAAACGTCCTCTACCGCAAGCAGGAGGGCGTCCCACAAGGTGCTGCTTGTGTGTGTGTGTGTGTGTGTGTGTGTGTGTGTGTGTGTGTGTGTGTGTGTGTGTGTGTGTGTGTGTGTGTGTGTGTGTGTGTGTGTGTGTGTGTGTGTGCGCGTTCCCTCCCCCCTCTCTATCGCTGCGTCTCGACTGTTTCCGGCATTGCCCTCCCAAGTCTGCTGGACTTTGAGTCGTTTGTGCCTTTCTTCGTCTTCTTCACACACTTACGCAATTTGATGTGTGTTCTTGCTTGCTCCCATTGCGCGCCAGGTCTCTACATCTAAACCGCCACCATCCATCCATCCATCCATCCCCCGATCATCATCGACCCTTTGCTCTCGTGCTTGGTTGGGTTGCTTGGCCGTTTACTGTGTCAGAGCGTCGTGTGAATGCGTTCTTGTTTGTATTCGCCCTTGAGCGAATGTGTGCGTGTGTGCGGTGTTGTTACTTGCACGAGCGCGACGCAAACCACAGCAGAGAGCCTGCCGTGAGCAAGTAAAGCATGAGTGTTGGTGCATGGATGCCATTTCCTCCTTTGGTCCCCGCTGCCGAGGACGAATCAGCGGGCACGCCCCGGCTGCGCAGTCATGTGTGTGCGTGTGTGTATGTTTGCGGATGAGAGAGAGAGAGTGTGTGTGTGTATGTGTGTGTGTGTGTGTGTGTGTGTGTGTGACAGAGTATACGTGAGTGAAGAGTGAGGAGGAAGAAACTCGACAAACAGCAAGTGCGCGCGTGGCAACAGTTACCTTGGTGGGTTGCTGCTGTCTGATGCCCATCCAAAGCTGCGAACAACGGCCTTCTTCCAATGCTGGTACTTCTCGTCACGCTCTGCGAACAACGCGTGGAGCGCAGACACAACATGCAGTGAGCAAGGCCGTGTTGGGGTGGGGACACAGACACAGACACAGAGACACACAGACAGACAGACACACACACACACACACACACACACACACACACACACACACACACACACACACACACACAC